ATACCCAACTGTTTTCCTGAGGTGGGATCTCTGCACCTGCCACAAGAGGCATCAAAATAAAGGTCAAAGGGAAAATTAAAGTAGAAATACATTCATACAACTCATTCCTTTTGCAGCTCAGATGCCCCTACTGAGATCCTCACAAATGGAGTCCTTGTGGTGAGTGAAAGTCGGTTGGTTATGTTTGGAGAATAGTTACTTTGTGTAGATTAAACGGGACATGAGAGGACATGAGCACTTCCAAGTTAGATGGACAAAATGCATATACATCTGTACTGCCCACATCTCCCTCTTATATTTGATTTGTGTAAAGATAATGTGTAATTTGAATTTGTGGAAATTGTGATTCCACGATAGGGATGAGAATATCAGAGCCAAAAAAGATGCTGTTCCAGGCAATGCCTTTGAACTATTGGTGGGTGTTTTGTGCACTCCTCTGTCCCCCAGTGCAAGGCCCTCTCTTTTGTATCAGTGTTCATTCCTTTCATGCATTTCTGAATGGCAGTAATAGACAGGATAAATCACAGCAGGACTGGGAGCTGAATCTGGAACTTGGGGGCAGAAGGTTTGATTTTTATGTGGTCTCTGAATTTTGGAGGGGGTTTTATTATAAAGCATAAGAGGTACTTTGCAGAGTCTCTGCCTGTCTACTACCTATGAACTGCAGGACAGTTAGCAACCTATTTTTCCCCTGGCATGTGCAAAACCAGTTTTTGCTGTTTGTATTTAATTTCCATTCTCACTGGGATCCCATACAGATCCAGGGAAGCTTTTAATTTTCCCAGACTCTAGGACAAGAAAGTGTTTGATATTTGGCAAGCATTTAGATGTGAATATATTTCAGCAAGTGTTCATATTTAAATAAGAGAGAAAAAAGTCTGCTCGTATGCTAAGAGTTTAAAGCTACATAGACTGGGTTGGGAGGAAGTTATAGGTGCTAGGAGAAGAGCATACTACTTGGTCAAAAGCAAACAACCCCACTGCCTTCAAATGGGAACCCCTCCCTCCCTCCCAGGAAAAAATGTTCAAGTTCTATCCACTTGAAGGAAAATCTCCAAAATCTTTGTTTAGCTAAAGGATGACAGGTTATAGGTGTACTTTAGTTGCTGGTTATATCTGAGTGGGAAATGGACCAAGCCTCATAACCAGAGCTGTCATTCTTTTCATGTAGGCTCATCCCTCCCTTTGTTTGAAAGGCACAATCAACCAAGATAAGTCGAAGCAGAAAGACCAGGGTAAGGCTGTGTGTGAATGTCAAGGCAGATCTGTTTACTTTTGTTTGGGGTTGCTTGAATTTTTTTCTGAGAGTTTTTCTTGCCATCAAATTCTAAGGAGCTGGGCTTCACTCATTATTATGCATATTTTTTCTACTGGATTCTTTGAAAAAGTGGCTTTTACTGAATCTGGAATTAATGTGAAATTATGTTACATCTCCTCTATGGAGTGCCACATGGAAAAAAGCTCTGGTTTTGTCTCTCTTGTCCGACTGTGTTTTTAATAATATTTTCTGTTTTTTGCCATGTTTCAGTGATTGCTGTGGGCCTAAATTTCTCATTTCTGTTTTCAGGGAACTGTCAGGTCAAGCTGTCTATGCCTGGGGCATATGAGAAGCAGTTGTGCTTTCCCTTGAAACCTGATGATAATCAAGATTGTGGGATACCATTTGTTTTTCATGTAGACAAAGAAATGTGTCCAGACCTGGAGGTAGAGCTGGAGCAAACCACATCTTTCTTACAGGTAAGCAAATGTGTTGACACTTGGTAAGGTTGCAATCCACTTTTGGAACAAACCTCTCCAGAAGCTTGGGGTCCTGATTTATGGTTATGTCTTTAAAAGTGACTTGTGTTGACTTTGAATTTTACTCACCAGGCCCAAAACTATTTCAGAGTTCAATGCAAATTAAAATCTAGTTTACCATTCTTGGGTAGATAAATGAATACCATTGTTAAAGTGCGCATTAAAATGAATTGCTTGTGAAATAGTGGAAATAGCTTGTGTGATGCTGGTAAAGCTACCTATTATAAAACTATAAGGCCCTGTTCTCAAGCTGCCCGTAGTTTTGCTAAACTAGTAGGGTTGTGCGAAGCTTCGGTCCCTGATTTGATTTGGCGGAGATTCAGCCCGATTTGGTGGCTGAATCTCCAAATCAAATCAGAGGACCCTTT